TCAGAATCTCACTGCTTCTTCAGGTGTTGGTGAGAGAAGTGACATCAGACACAGAATTTGCTAGTAAAAGATCAAAAGGGTCACAGAACTGATCCAAAAGTATTGAAGAAACCCAAGATGGCACTTAAATCTTGAATCAGATAGAAAGGATTAATATGCAAATCCCAGAATTTCATTCAAGTCACTGTCTCGAGATAACTAAAGGTTTATCAGTAAACCAGAGGTGACATCTCAGGTCAGACAAAGCATTTTAGGGGTGAGGCCGTGTTGAGACTATGGCCTCACCTGGGATCTTGGGTGCGTATCACACTGCAGGTGATCCACCACACAATACACTGCCTCTCTCACTCCCTCCTACACACACACAGACACACACTCATTCCCACAAACATACTCTCTCTCTCTCTCTCACACACACACACACTCATTCCCATACACTCTCTCTCTTTCTCACACACACACACACACTCACACTCACACACACACAGAGGCAAACACACACACTCTCCCACAAACACACATACTCCACACATGCACACATACTCACACACACAGTCACTCTCTCTCTCTCACACACACACGCACAAATGGTCTCTCACACACACACACGGTCTCTCTCTCTCTCTCTCTCTGTCTCTGTCTCTGTCTCACACACACGGTCTAACTCCCACACACACACTCACTCGCACACAAACACACACATGTATTCGCTCTCTATCCCAAAGAAACACACGTACACACTCCCACACAGAGTCTCTCACACACACACACATGCATACAGTCTCGCAAATACACACACACACAAACACGAGCGGTCTCTCTCACAAACACACACACATGCAGCCTCTCCCACACACATACACACATGCAGTCTCTCTCTCTCTCTCTCTCTCACACACACACACACACACACACATGTACTCTCTCTCTCTCCCAAAGACACACGTGCACACACTCCCACACACAGTCTCTCTCCCTCATACACACACACACATACACATACACACATTCTGCGACACATGCCCCCACACACAATCATTCCCACAAACACACACACTCATCCCCTACACACACTCTCCCACAAGCACACACACACGCACTCTCTCTCTCCCAAAGACACAGGCACACACACTCCCACACATGCATAGTTTCCCAGTCTCTCTCTCTCACTCTCACACAAACACACACACACACACACACACACGGTCTCTCTCACATACACTCTCACACACACACACACACACACACACACACACACACACACGGTCTCTCTCACATACACTCTCACACTCACACACACACACACACGGTCTCTCTCACATACACTCTCACACTCACACACACAATCTCTCTCTCTCACAAACACACACACACTCTCATACACACAAACACACACACACACTCTCATACACACAAACACACACACATTCTCATACACGCACACACTCGCATACACACACACATGCACACTCTCACACACTCTCTCTTACACACCCACCCACCCACACACACACTCTCATAGACACCCACCCACACACACACACACTCTCATACACACCCACCCACACACACACACTCTCTCATACACACCCACCCACACTCTCGTACACACGCACACAAACACTCTCATACACTTTCATACACACCCACCCACACACACACACACAC